AAAAAAAAAAAAAAAAAAAAAAAAAAAAAAAAAAAAAAAAAAAAAAAAAAAAAAAAACAGATGAAAGGCTCCAAACCCCAAAATTTAAGCCTTGAAACACATTTCCAAGATGTACAGAATTCGAGTAATTAATTATCGAAAAATTGACATTTTTTGCGGTAATTCATTTCGCATACTATGAGTTTTTTAATGGTTGAATTTTTATCGTCTCATTGTATTTGTCTTTCTAAGCCTGACAGGCAAATATTATTTGCTTATACGATTTTTTTTTCTTTACCCCTTTTTCGGGAAAAGTAGTTTTCGACACCTTAACGATTTTTTTTCTGTTAGTTGTTACAAACTGATTTTGTCGAAATTATTTTCCTCGTATTTTCACGATTTTTTTCTACTTATCACTTTGAAAAATTTCACTGTCATGCGATTTTTATCAATTAATTATTCCTGGTTCTTGTCCCTGTACTTATCTTGGAATATCAAAATTAGAAATTAGTAATACCTAAACCTAAAGTAATACCTCGTACTATTAATACAAAGGAAAGTAGATGTGTTTTTTTTTTTTTCAACTAGTAGTTGTTTTTACTTTTATACTAGTGTTTTAGATTAAATAATTTCATTCAAATGCCTGCGTAATAATACAAAGTTGGTTTTTTTTGTTTCAGAAAAAAATTTTACTTTAGCCAAATTTCACTTTTTATACAGCAGAGATAGTTACGGATGTGCTCTGATGCTTATAGAGTTGCATAATAACCATGGATATTCAAACGAAGTAGAATTGTTCATTGCTCAAGTTGTCTTGCAGTAAGTTTTATAATTACTTAGCTAAGTAGAACATACAAGAATATTTTACAGTCTGGAATTTGGAGGAAATTTTACTTTGCAAATGTATTTAGTAATAATAATGTCTTTAGTACATAAAAAACTGTTACTTTGTTACGGCGTTAGGTATTGAGGCTATTATGTACAGTTTCATATTGGAAACGTCATATGTTGTGACTGTAAGGTGTGACAATTCAAATCTTGAAAAAAATGGATGATCCTGTTAAAGTAAGAATTAGAGTGAAAATTGCTAAAAAATTTTAAAAAATTAACTTCTTTACAGTATAAACAAGTAATGGACGTGTCAAAACCGCGTTGTTTGTGGCTTAGTTGTAAACAAAATTTTTTAAAATATGAAATTTAGGTATTGTTCAAGAATCAAAAATTAATAAGTTGATTAACAATCTTAAAAAAATAGAATGACGCACTTTGGAAAACAGTAGAAAAGTGGTAATAAGAAGTTCTGCAGTAGATTTAAAAAAAGTCATTTTTCACGAAGTTATTTACAACTTTTTTCCGATGGAGTCTGGGTAAAATCTTATTGTAACTGTGAATAACTCACCTTTTTTTGTTCTTTTAGGCGTTTTTTCGTAGTACTTATTTTTGTGGTACCTGTCGCACACTTGTTAGACTAAAGGCTCCTAAACTCTGGTACATGCCCTAGCAATATGCGTTACTGAGTACGAAAACTACTATTCTTATACCTTAAATATAATACCCTGTTTTGACACTTTTGTAAATCTTTTTACATCCATACTACGGAACGTTTGACTTCATGAATATTTCATGTATTTTTTTAGGTCTTTTATCTAAATCATAATATTAAGAAGTAAGTCACTTTTGTAGAGTTTTTAAAAACCAAAATTTAGCGAAAAAGCTTCGAGTTTTTGTTGCTTATTCGTTGACTTGAATTAGTGGGATCATAAGTTAAGGGAAAAACTCAAAGAAATTATATTATGAAACACTAGTAACTCTTCATATTCCAGCGAGTCATCAAGTAATGAATCGACTAACGACTCTAAGCGCTGGTAAAGTATCATTGAGTTAGCTTCATCAATGATATTTTAGAAATTCGAGCATACCTACTTATTTTAATAATAGCTACCTCGTTATTTAGTAAATTGTATCACATAAGCACCACACACTGAGACAAAACATTATTCTTTGCCTAAATTAAAAAAATTCCAATTCATGAAGATCTTAAGCAAAAAGTTTATTATTTAATGATGAAAACTTTTCAAAAGTCCAGCTTTTAGATCAAGATTCTAAGTTTTAATTATTTATAACGTTGTAAATGATGTATAGGGAGCGTTTTTTTTATCAAAATACAACGACAAAATTACAAAAAGTAATGATATAGATTTAAAAAAAGTACTACCTAGTCAAGAAAGATTTTCAATACCACAAATACCACAGTAAGTTGACGCTTCTTCCCTAAACTCTACTACCTTGTTAAGTCAGTTAAAAAATTATAGAGTAATAATGCATTAATTTGAAAATTTATGTAAGATCTTTACAACAATTTTTCAACGGCATGTCAATAGTTTTGAATCCTTAAAATCGCATGTCATTATTGCTTAGAATGAGCGTTTCAATTGAGTTAAGGTTTTAACTTATTGTAATCAAGCAATTAAGTGTGGTTAAATAAAACTATAAAAAAACAAAAAAAAATTTAAAATGTTAATTTATATATGATTCTCGAAAGAAGCTTGTTTCGTATATTATTCAAATTGAATTATCCTACCGTACATTTTGGCTCTCATTTGTACACCAATTAAACACTAGTATGCTTCTGAAATATACCAATTGTAAGCTTACGAGTGTATAAGTAGTCGGCTTATCGAGTCTGAGTAAGAGAGCAAAAAAGAAGGAAAGCAGCGTCCGTACAGACAGTGCATCTTGGGGATCGCTTACAACAGCAGCCTTTTTCTGCTGATGCTAGACTTTTTAATTTAGACTATTTAATTTCTTTTAGTTGAAGTCCGTAAAATACTTTTGATCATACATTAACATAGTATTGTATTGTATTGTACGAAGATTTTAACGTACACCCATTGCAGAATTTTGACGTACTTTAATGCCCCTAACCTCTACCTTCCCTGTTCTTTTTCCGTAATTACCATCCCCTATTCCACCAAGTATTCGAGTCTTTCATTCGGGCCTCTTTGCAAAGTCGCTCTCATATAACTCGGTAATCCACCCTACTGGGTACTACTTACAGGGCGCAGTGATTGTCTCAAGCACACCCCAGTTATTATCAAGTTTAATGGAAGATATTTTTTAATAAACCATCTAACTTGCTGTACCAACCTTCTTATAATCAACAGTGACTTTTACTCAATGAGCTGGCCAGGTGTTGGCTTTCCTTTAAAAAAAAGCCCCAAGAGGTCCAGACATCACCAGGAAAACTGACTATTTGTTTTAAAAATCAGATAAGTGGTGTTTTGGTATCCTGGATACTCATCTCATCGAAAAAGCCTGAGAAAAAATTTCATTCTTCGACGGGACTCAAACCCACAACTTCTTGTATCTTCAGCTAGGATGCTAGCATAATAACCACTAAGCCATCGAAGCTCCATTGACATAGTATATAATATGTTGAAGACTCTAACGATAAGGTCAATTCGAGTACTTAATTGTGTCTGCAACTATCCTTTATGTTTTGTGTAAGCTCCCTAACAAAATATTTGAATGAATTATAATGAATTATAAAATTTATCACTAAGAACTAATAACCCAGAAAATGACTTGTTTTTAGCATCTCTACTTCTATATTTCCGTAAAATATATTGCACAAGCTCTTCAGAGTTTCAATTCTTAAAACAAACTATTCCTTATGATTTAATTTTTTTTGCAGTTATATGACCAGAAAACATGTCATTTTGTATACGCAAATATTTCACCCTATGCAAATCTTAAAGTCTGTTACAAACGTACGCCGCTGATTTCGTGTAGATCAAACACGAAAACTTGTCATGTAACAATGTGCTTAGTGATAACTGCGTAAGCTTAAGGCTTTGATTTTGTAAAATTGTGTCTCTTATTCTAGCTATAAAGTTTTGTCATGAGATGATGTTATTTTATTTACTTGATAGTAACTACGTGTCTTGATATTATTGCAGTCATAATCATGTAAATATTTATAGCTTTTTTTATCAGTACAAGAAATCATTTAGGCATAAGTTATAACTGAATTTGATATCTTTAGACTTGATCAATCAAAAGCCTTGATAAGTTCTTGATTCAAATTTAATGTTATGAGGTAGTTCTGTTGCATTGTTTATTACCTTGCTTTCAACTTATTTATTTCTGTACTAACAGTATGTTACTAAAAAATCTAAACTTTCTTCTTTTAATTAAATTTTATATAATACGAGAAAACTGATCGTTTTTTTATCGTTAGGATGTGCCAACTACTTAGAAATCAATGTCTTTGAAATTTAATTCGATTATTTAATCATTCATGTTTGCTGGCTTTTATAACAAGTGATAAAAAATTATTAAATGCTAGGAAATTAGATTTTTACGTAGTTTTTTCTGGTCTGCTATAAATCTTCTTAGATTATGTGATTGTTTTAGTGGAGCTGGTGATATGTTATGTATAACTCTAACAAACTCCTCAACGAAATGAGAAAAAATTCTTTTAATTCTTTGACTAGTTAACCCCCATACTATTTAAGTTGGAGTCTTCCACAGTTTTTAAACCCTTTTTAAGATCCTCTACAACCCCCACAGTTTACTTTTTCCTTTTATTCTCTCTTTTCTTTTTACTTTATGATAAATACCTTTTGTTTCCGAAGCCGTTGAGGTGAGTAGATTGACTTCATACTTCATAGTAAAAAAATATTTTATCTGAGACTTAGTTTATTTTCTATCAAACTTTCTACGTATAATTTTATTTGTACGAAAATAAGTTGCCTCGACTATTTTATTAGTATCATCGATATAATAACTAAATTTGTTATCATGTACATGCATATTGTACTTACATGATGTGTTATAATTATATTTGTATGACTCTTAAAAATTTTACATTGACGTATGTTAACACAAGTCACAAGTTTAATAAAAATAGCAGGTATTAACTTACTTTTTAAAAAATGTTTTCCAAATTTTGTTTTTTATTTTAAAATAATTTTTACTGTTAATTCGTATGAAAATTCCATCATCATTGTTTCTTCTTAATAATTCCACATATAATTTACTCCTCCACTACTCCACCTTCACAGACTACTAATTTATTAATGGACAAATTATCAAGTTATCAAAAAAAAAAACTTTTATTTATCAGGTTTTATTCATCATGTGAAATGACGTTTACTAATAAACAGCAAAGTAAAACATACAATTCGTTTAGGATGCGCAAGAAAATTTAGTGAGAATAATGCTTCAACAAGATACATAAAAAATTTACATTAAAGGCAAATATTTTTTAAAAACATCTGTTGCTGTGTTCTAAAACGTGATTATTTCTCAAAGTCCCTCTCTTTCAGAACTATTTTCTTTTACTTTAAAAAATTATTCTTTGATTATGCAATACTTCTCAATTGATAAAATTCAAGATAAAATGTAATTAAGGTACGTTATATTTATAAAAACGTCAGGATGTCATTTTAATATAAGAATAAAACTTTTTTCTTATCGATATACGCTAGCCATGATGTTGGTTTTGACAATTTGAAATTAGAGTAATGTATAAAAAAGATAAAAGTTCAACGTTTCCGAAACCTTACTAAAGAAAGCAAAACCACTGGTCAATGAGTATTTAGGTACCGAAGTATTTGGTTATACTTCTCTGGCAGATAATATATAAATGTAGATATACCTTTTACAAAACAATGTATTAAATAACTTACTACGATTTATAAAAGGTTGTCCTTGGAATCAGGGTATATGGTGGTAAGAAGTGGTTTTAATAAATATTTAGTAAATAAAAAATTATAAAGCATTAAAAAAAAACTTTATAGACTAGTAACATTTCT